ATGCATGAGGTTGTTGATGTTGATCATGAGTCTTTCTGAGCAGCCCTGGTTTTCTGGCATTGCTAATCTTTTACTTGTAGCTTCGGCTGTATCCAAAATAGAGAGTTGAGCAAACTTCCGAGAAACACCATCCGAAGGATGTAAAGTTCCAGTACGGTGATAAACTTGTCCGTGTATTCTAAAACAGTATGGCCCATATCCTGATGGCGATGCAATATTTGCACCCATGGAAGTAAAAGCAAAAGAACTATTTATGGAACGAATATTTTCCATGAAATTTTTCCTGTCAGAATCTTCGTTTGTCATTAATCTTTTTAAATATGCTGGGTAATCTGGAAAATGTATATCATTTGGACAGACTTTCCCTTTGCTACAACATCGAGTAAATTTCCCATCGGATGGTTTTTCATCAGAGAAATTTAGTGATAGGTAAAATTCACATCGAACAGTCATTCCACCACAACTATGTTCGAGGATTGCATCCTCATGTACTCCATTTTTGCTGAGAAGGCAGTTCCTACCGGTATTGGTAGTACTTGTTGATGACTGTTCTCTAGACATATTCTGTAGTCGCCACCGCCTTCTTTCAACTTCAAAGGCACGTTGGTCTTTAGACATTTTCTGTCGATAACACCGGTGTTTTTCAGCATCAGAGCGACGTTTTTCTAGTAGCTGGTGTTCAGATACATCCTGTCGCAGGTGCCGCCTTCTTTCAAGATCAGACGCACGCTGCTCTGCAGACACTTTCTGTCGATAACGCCGGCATCTTTCGGCTGCAGAGCTACGTTGTATCAACAGTTGTTCTTTAGACATAGTCCCACCTCTCTACTGTCACGATCTGAGATGCAGGTGAATGAGAGTCCTGGCTATCTGACCAATGGCTGATTCTGGCTGATTCTGTGGGGGTAGGACTTCCTCCTCCCTGCTGTCAGTTTCCACAGCTGTGATGAGGAAGCTGGGGTGATGAAGCTGCGCCTTCCAAGCCGCCCTCTCTCTCGCTCTGTTCTATGTCCAGCGGTCTCCTGCTCTGCCAAGTCCTCCAAACCTCCCGCTCTCCGCTGGCAAGGTCCCGGGAGCCCATGGGCGTGGCTAGGTGCAGGCAGTCTCGCCTCCCCGACCGGCGAAAGTCCCTGCAGCCCGTGGGCATGGCTATGGCCTTGCCTCCTGGAGCTGGCGAAGGTCCTGGGAGCCCGCGGGTGTGGCTAGGCACAGGCGGCCTGGCCTCCCTGACTGGCGAAAGTCTCGGGAGCCCACAGGCATGGCTAGACGTGGGCGCCTCGCCTCCCCGGGAGCCTGGGGGTGTGGCTATGGCCTCGCCTCCCTTGGCTGGCGAAGGTCCTGGGAGCCCGCAGGCGTGGCTAGGCGCAGGCGGCCTCGGCTCCCCAACCGGCAAAAGTCTTGGGAGCCCACGGCTGCAGGCGCCATCACCTCTTGGGGCACCTGACACCTGCATATGCAAGTTAACCGCCATCTTTGTTGGGTTAATTTGCATAGTCACTGTGATGGGCTGCATATGCAAGTTAACCGCCATCTTTGTTGGGTTAATTTGCATAGTCACTGTGATGGGCTGGTGGGCATGGCTTGAGCGTAGCAGAGGGATGGCTAATTTGTATGTTTCTCTTATTATGTAGGATGGGAGCATAGTACAGGCCCTTTTTTGAACCTAAAATTTTCTCATTTAATTATATATCTTGGAGTTGATTCCATTTCTGTGTCTATGTATGTGTGTGTATATTTTATGTAGATAACATTGATTGTTTTAACAGCATTTAATTTATTCAACCACTCTTTTATTGCTGGAATGTTTTATTGTTTCTAGTGTTACTATACACTTAATCTGCTGCAGTGAACATTTTGGTACATATATCTTTGCCAGAGATTCAAAATTGGATGCCCATGGCTATATCTGACTATGAGACTCCTTTTTTTTTGAGGGACCACTCTGCATTAAATATCAGCCATTTTCAACAAAGGCTCAGATTTCAAGCTGGAAACTAGCTTGTGGACCCACATTTCTTTTTCTTTTTAATTTTTTTTTTTATTTCTTAAAGTATTACAAAGAGTATTACGCATGTCTCCTTTTTCCCCTCCCTTGACATTCCCCTGGCTTCCCCCACCCCGCAGTGTCTTGTGTTCATTAGTTATTCTCATATGCATGCATATAAATCCTTCGGTTGATCTCCTACCCCCACCAACATTCCCCAGGGTTCCCACTGTAGTTTGACAGTCTGCTCAATGCTGCTTTGCCGGAATATCCATTTTTTGTTCATCAGTCTATAATGGTCCTTATTATCCATAAATGAGCGAGTTCATGTGGTATTTTTATCAGCTTCCCAGGGGCTGTTTCAGTCTCACAGGGGCCATCTCAGCCTCACAGGGGCTGTCCCAGCCTCACAGGGGCCGTCTCAGCCTCACAGGGGCCGCCTCAGCCTCACAGGGGATGCCTCAACCTCACCGGGGCTGTTGCAAGCTCACCGAGGCAGTCTCAACCTCACCGGGGGCCGTCTCAACCTCACCAGGGCCGATTCAGCCTCACTGGGGCCGTTTCAGCCTCACAGGGTCCGATTCAGCCTCACCAGGGCCATCTCGACCTCACCGGTGCCGTCTCGACCTCACCTAGGCTGATTCAACATCACCGGGGCCGTCCCAGCCTCATTGGGGCTGTCCCAGCCTCACCGGGGCCGATTCAACCTCACCGGGGCCGATTCAACCTCACCGGGGGCGTCCCAGCCTCACCGAAGCCGTCCCAGCTTCACAGGGGCGTCTCGGCCTCACCGGGGCTGTCCCAGCCTC